GGGGGGGGGGGGGGGGAGAAGGTTCCCAGACTCCAAATGTCATAAGTGAAGTTGAGCTCCACACACTGGTATTACTGTAGCTCTATGAAATAATGGAGGAAAGGAGAAAAAGGAAAGAGAAGAGACTAGAGAAAGGATTCTAATTTGATCTAGGCCCTAGTTATCTAGACTTCTGTCAGATTGGCCTCACACCAGCCCTAGATTAATTTTCCTAAGTTACAGCTTATACCATGTCACCAATACATCATGGCCTTCCTCTTCCTTGCTATGGAACCACTCAAGAATGGGAGCAGTGAGACCAGTTAGAAGGCTATTACAGAAGTCCAAGTGAGATATAATGGTGGCTTAGTCAAGACTAGAAATAGTAATGACGGAATCTACCCAACTTGGCCCAAACTCTGAAGGCTGGCACACAAGTCCTTGCATATGGAGCACCAAACTACCCAGCCAACACCATCTCCTATTACTCTCATATATTCTCTTTTCTTCAATAATATGGTACAGTTTTTGTGTTCTCTAAAATGGCCTCAGACTTTCTAACCTCTGTATCTTTGCTCACATCATTTTCTCTGTTTGGAATGTACCCCAACCTCCACTTCTGACAAAAATCTATAAATTCTTCCAGATCATCTAAGTGACAATGACACAGACCCTTTTTTGAGTTACTCATCTTCTTATGATCTCTTCTACCTTTGAATTCAAAAGCTCTTTGCTTATGTCTTTTAAGTGGCTTATGAAAAATATCTAGAGCAGAGATCTCGGCAAGTAATGTGTAAGCCCACTGAAATTTCATGAAAATTTTCATGGAAAATTTGAGAACATAATGACCAAACTTTTCATTTGAGGGCATTTTCTGAGGAGAGAGTCCATGGCTTTTTTTTAATCAGAGATTCAAAAAACAACATGATCTGCCCCACTCCCTACCCCCCAAAAAGGTTAAGAAACTTTATGTTAAAGAAAACCTTAGAAAACAAAAGGGGGAAAAAGAAAGGAAGAAGGATAAACAAGGAAGAAAGGACAAGAAAAATAAATGAAAGAAGGAAATATCTGAATTGAGAGAAGGTAGTATCTTTAGAAATACCCTCAGGAGTCCTGCCACAGCACCTGGTTACCACTGAGCTAACCTCAGTATGTTCAGAGCACGTGCTCTCCTCTGCCGGCTAAATGAAAGACTATTAGAAAATGTCAAGGTTTAATTTATCCATTTTGATGAATTATTAATAGTAGCTCAATACTGCCAAAGCTTACTAGAATAGTCAAAGCATGAAACTCATAAAAACTGTAATTTGTTGGAAGCTATGGACCTAATCTGCATTTTACAAATAAATAACTACAAATAAGCTAAAATGAGTTATTAAAACATTAATCCACTAAATTATACATTTTAAGAGAATGAATTTTAAAGCTGGTATAAAAAATTAATCAAACTCTTAAAAGTATTACTCATTTTTATTATAATAACCTGTTATAGTTCAGATAAAATTTATCAAATAGAATGGCGAAAACAATTTTGCTCAATAATTTGATCAGAGTATTTAAAAATGGAGAGGTTTATTAGATTAAAAATATAATACGTACCTTTATATCTCTGTGCATTTTTCCTTTACTATGAAGATAATATAATCCCTGGAGTTTCAAAAAGTAAAAAAATAAGTAAGATTTTATCACAAAACATGCTTTGAGATTTTAAGTGATCATTTGAGTAGTACTGTGCGTATTTTATTTGCTCCTTACAGAAGGCCTAGTAGTAATCATTAACTTATTTTAATGAATATCTTAAAAGACAACAGAATCAAATAAAAGAAAAGTAAAGCTCAGTTGGAACCACTAATTTTTCTAAGACAAATAATTTTCAGTAAACTCTGCAAATAGTTTGAAATAACTTTTGAAAGCTTATATCCAATTAGTTTCAGAATAAGTTTCAATTCCCATGATAGTGCTTAATTTTTAAGCCTTTCTTTGGTATTAAGAGGAATATAAAAATATACAATAATAAATCCATAGTGCTTAAATTTTAGGCTATATAATCACATTTAAGATTTAACTTGTTTATTTGTAAATATAATTTGAGTTTACTACACAACTAAAAAACATATTAAAATTCTTCAAGAGTTTACCAAACTAGAACATTTAACCTTTACTTGACAGGTAACGTACAATAATTAAACATTTAGTTTAATAAAGAATGCAATTTTTTAATTAGCATTTGATTTACCTGTAGTGTTTCTCTGCTAACATATGCAATTTGTAGTTCAGACAGAGGTCCAGTTACTACAAAAGAAAAAAATTAATATTAATAAAATTAGTCAATGCATGTTTTTCAATATGTGACAAAGTTTTACAAGTTCTACTAAGCAAGAGACTTAATATACCTAAACAATGAGCTCCATGAGGGTAGGGATTTTGTTATTTTTAATCTGATTTGCTCATGGTTGTGCCTTCAGTGTTTAGAACAGTGCCTGGCACAGAAAAACTGCTCAATAAATGTTTGTAGAATGCATGCATGAATGAATGAAATAATACTGATATTAATTATATTTTCATTTTTATATCTCCCTGATCAATAATACCACTTCTTAAACATTAAAAGAATGTCCATAGGTTTAGCTAGTTTTTATTAAAGTCTTTAAATTGATGTGTGACATATATTATGGCTAGTGTTAAATCAATATTTCTCCCTAACAGTATTAGTTTTATAGCTATAAGATTAATAAATTTTCACTATAAAACATTCTAATCAATAGAGAAGTTTGGAAAGTGAAGAGCTCTTCCTTATCCAAACTATGAGAGATCTTCAGAAAATTCATGGGAAGTGTGTATTATGAAAAAACTATACATGGATTTCAAAATTTTTTTCACTAAAACAAACTTGTACTAATTTGTTATAACATGTCTGAACAGGATCTAATTTCATGCACTAAAGAGGCTAGACATCTGTTTGAAAAGAGCCCTTATAAAAGCAACATAAATTCTGCCAATATTGAAGCAAGAACAAACATCAAATTTATGGTGAAGCCTGGGTAGAAGAATGGTGAAATTACTAATGCTTTACAAAAAGTGTATGGGGACAATGCCTGCCAATATTGAAGCAAGAACAAACATCAAATTTATGGTGAAGCCTGGGTAGAAGAATGGTAAAATTACTAATGCTTTACAAAAAGTGTATGGGGACAATGCCCCAAAGAAATCAGCAGTTTACAAATGGACAGCTCATTTTAAGAAGAGATTAGACAATATCGAAATGAAGCCCACAGCAGCAGACCATCCATCTTAATTCATGAGGAAAGAATTAATCTTGTTCATGCCCTCATTGGACAGGACAGATGATAGACAGCAGAAACCATGGCCAACACCATAGACATCACAACTGGCTCAGCATACACAATTTTTCTGACTGAAAACTTATAGTTGAGCAAACTTTTTTCTTGATGGGCGCCAAAACTGTTGCACCCAGATCAGCTGCAGATAAGAGCAGAACTTTCAATGGGAATTTTAAACAAGTGGGATCAAGATCCTGAAACCATTCTTTGAAGGACTGTAACAGAAGCTGAAACAGGGCTTTACCAGTACAATCCTGAAGACAAAGCACAATCAAAGCCATGGTTACCAAGAGGTGGAAATGGTCCAATCAAAACAAAAGCAGACTGGTCAAGAGCAAAGGTCATGACAACAGTTTTTTGGGATGCTCAAGGCATGTTGCTTGTTGACTTTCTGGAGGGCCAAAGAACAGTAACATGTTTATTAAGAGTGTTTTGAGACAGTTAGCCAAAGCTTTAGCAGAAAAACTCTGGGGAAAGCTTGAGCAGAGTCCTCCATCAAAACAATGATCTTGCTCAATCCTCATATAAAACAAGGGCACTTCTGTGAGAGTTTCAATGGGAAATCACTGGACATCCACCTCATAGTCCTGTTTTGGCTCCTTCTGACTTGTTTCATAATTTTAAAATATCTTTAAAGGGCACTCATTTTTCTTTAGTTAACAATCTAAACAAGAATGCATTTGACATGGTTAAATTCCCAGGACCCTCAGTTCTTTAGGGATGGATTAAATGGGTGGTACCATGACTTACCAAAGTGTCTTGAACAGTGTTTATCCACTATGGAAGACATTTAAACAGTTTTCTCTTTCTTGCTATTAAATCACTTTAGAAGAAAGAAATACATTAGGTGGAAGAGACTATTTTAGAAATTGAACTAAATCTCAGTGATGGAATCTTTCACAAGATAGTGAACTCACATTTACCCAAACTTAATGGCTAAAAAAAATCTCAGTGATGGAATCTTTCACAAGATAGTGAACTCACATTTACCCAAACTTAATGGCTTATAAACCCGTTTAGTTTGGACTACTTTCAGTATTTTACAATTAAAGAAGAGAGAAATCTATTTCACTTAGATTCCTTTGAGGACAGAGCTGGTTTTAAATGTCTGAAGATAAACCATATAACTAATTTCTGTAGCTTCTAAGTCCAGCCTCATTCAGTAAAATAAGCCTCCTTGAGACTTCTGTTTCTACAATACGACAAACAAGATATCCTGAAAACCATGAAAATAACACCTAGAAATGACAGGGGAAATTTTGTTTTTTAAAAATAACCTTGTGGCCAGCTCGGTGGCGCACTGCTACAGTGCGCCGCTTGGGAGTGCAGTGGCGCTCCCGCCGAGGGTTTGGATCCCACATACAGACCGGTTCCCGCTCACTGGCTGAGCGAGGTGTGGGAGCAACACCGAGGGTTGCGATCCCGTTGCCGGTCCCGGTCCGGTACGGGCGCGACACTGAGGGTTGCGATCCATTGCCGGACACGAAAAAAGACAAAAAGGAAAAAAAAAAAAAAAAAAAACCTTGTAAATACCTAGTTAAACTCA